AAGAAGAAGAGGAGATAAAGAAGAAGAAGAAGAAGAAGAAGAAGAATAGTGATAAACAGAGGCCATAGACTGTCCTTCGTGCATGCTTCAACAGAAATTTCCATGCTCAACCGCACGCACTGAGCTCAGAAGAAACGCGCTCATTGCCCTACTACGCACGTTTCAGCCAGGAAGCGCACCTGGCACTCATATCAGGGACCTCCTTCTCCTCGGATCTGCCTTACGGCACCCACCTACTTGTCCCGCCACTGAGCAATGAGGGCCGACGGCCTTGCTCTAGAATTAATACAGAACGACTACCTATGCCTAAACTCTCCGTGCTGCGTTGTCGTCCTACTCGGTAGTCAGTTGTGGGATACTGTCGCAACAATTTGAAATTTGCCCCCGTCGTTGGAAGCTTTTCCCCGCCTAAAGATAACCTGAAGTAGGACGGGCACTGACCAGTAGAAGATGAATTTCCGGGGAAATACGGAAATCCTAGGTGCTACCAGCCAAGCACGTATTACAATTTCCAAATTACAGGCGAAACGGGCCGATAGCTATTTCTCTCGATATTTCTTTCCAGTGCCGCTATCAATTTCAGCGCCCAGGGGCACGGTTCCACTAGCACACGAGTCATGGCCTATTTGGACCTGTGCGGCACTGTAAGAAAAGGAAGAAAAGTAATTTTTAAGACTTAAAAAAAAGAAAAATGGCGACGGTACATTTCCCAAGATGGGAAGAAGTCGGACTGTTGAAAGTGCAGCCGTCCCACTAACCCTCCCGTCTCCACCCTCTGCTCCCCACCCAGCCAATACCTAATCAGGACAGAGTGGTCCGTGACTGTTGCAGTCTCGCATACCACCTCGAGGGAGTCCCTTCGTGTGCCTGATGGGACTCCCTCCTCTGACGGTTGCCATGCTGAAGCATGCATTTCGTATATTTTGAGAGAATCGAAGTACTGGATGGGGTTAACAATTGACCCAGAAAAAGAAGGGGGTCAAAATTATGCCCTTCGAGTACTTGATTTTTTTTAATCTTTTGAAGAGCTGCCAATTAAAATGAGTCTTTCTATTTTCTTTTCCCGCCTCTATCGCTGTCTCTTATACACATCTAGATGTGTATAAGAGACAGGAAGAAGAGGAAGAGGAGAAGGAGAAGATTTTTTTTTTTTTGAGTCCTTACGCTTCACGTGACGATCCCAAGACACGCCCTCCCGGTCAGGAGGCAAACACTCAACCAAACGGCTAAGTGGACTGGGGTGAAAGTTAAGCCCCAAGATGAGCACTTAACCCCACCCCAGCAGGGGTACTCGTTTTTTGCCACACCTGTCTCTTATACACATCTAGATGTGTATAAGAGACCACTTCAGAATATAACTCCCTCGCAATTTTGCTGCCATCCGATTCTCCTGCATCAGTGGTCGGACGATGTCCGGCAGATGTCCCAAAGGTGTTTGTGGGACAAGGTTTACCTTACTCCTTTGCTAGTGGAACCGTGCCCCAGATCAGTACCTGTGTGCCACCCGTAGTTGCATCTCGCACGTGATTCATCAGAAAAACATTACTTCACCGCATGCAGTTCTCAGTAGAAACTTCATAGCAAATGCCCCGACGCGTTTCGGCCAGGAAGAAGAAGAACAAGAAGAAGAGAGGAAGAAGAAGAAGAAGAAGAAGAAGAGGAAGAGGAGAAGGAGAAGATTTTTTTTTTTTTTTGAGTCCTTACGCTTCACGTGACGATCCCAAGACACGCCCTCCCGGTCAGGAGGCAAACACTCAACCAAACGGCTAAGTGGACTGGGGTGAAAGTTTAAGCCCCAAGATGAGCACTTAACCCCACCCCAGCACGGGTACTCGTTTTTCCCCGCGACCCGGTGTACCCAGTCACACACACCCAACACAGGCGTCGACGCAGCCACCACACAATGTACGACCTCACTGCTGGTTGCTACGCAGGTAAGAAATTTTTCAAGTCCTTAAGCTTCACGTGAAGATCCCAAAAATCGAACACACGCCCTCCCGGTCAGGAGGCAAACACTCAACCGAACGGCTAAGTGGACTGGGGTAAAAGTTAAGCCCCAAGATGAGCACTTAACCCGACCCCAAACCCCACCCCAGCACGGGTACTCGTTTTTCCCCGCGAAGAAGAAGAAGACTGTGAAATGTATGTTATCCAGTTCCCCTACGCAGGGGGAAGTAGAGCGAGCTGTCACGTCCAACGTCACAAACACCGGGGAAAAAAAAAGAAAAAAACACTAAAACAGGGAGTTTTGGAAACCACGTTGCCTTTACGAACTTCTATGTGTTTTTTTTTGCATTTTCTAAGCGCATACATTCACTAGGACATTTTTGGATGCATCTGACCGCAATTAGGCTCGGTGGAAGATGTATCTGACCGCAAAAGGTCCTAGTGTGAATATTCCCTTGAGTTAAAAATCAAGATGTCGGACTTTTTTGTCAATGCTACTACTTGCAGTGCTTGTGTAGGATGCGAGAGACGACCACAGATATTCGGCCGACGCACGCGACACATGCAAGCTTCTTCTTCTTCTTCTTTTTCCTTTTTTTCTTTTTTTTCTTTCCCCCTCCCCCCCTTTAAACCTTTTTCCTTTTTTTTCCTTTTTTTTTTTTTTTTGCGACACGCGACACATGCAAGCCACGGTATTGTCCGCACACAGAGAACATTGGGTGAAACAAGCAAAGCTGCGCACACCGTAAGCACACAGAGAGCAGCGGCGTGCGAGTTTGTGACAGTTGTATAATCCATTACCCCCCATGCACATTTTTGGGGCAAAAAAAAAAAAAAAAAAACTAAAAGAGCTGGCTTTTC